CTTTCAAATAATACATTAATTTTCTCCATCATTCACGCGCTAGTTTAAAAGCCTAAGTATATATGCATAATGAATTGGATAACTCAAAGAAAATATGCTTTAACTACGGCTTTCAATTCAGGTGATAATTAACATGCAAATGTTCCAGTTTGTTGGGAAACAAGATGGAGAAGCTAGAAACTATCAAAATATGCCAAGGGGATCATTATAGTAGGGGAAAAATGGGGCAGGTCGTTACATGTATATCACATAATTTTTCAATAGAAAATTAGGTGCTAATATATAAAATCCAGGGTAACTTCAGAAGCTGAAGAATCATGAGTATTTGGGATGTAAACAATGTCTACAAAAATATGATGGAACGCAGAAATTGGCAAGGAAATTAGAGATACATATCTACAACAATATGATGGAACGATGTTAGGGGTAAGGTCAAGAATATTTCCAGAAACCGAGAAATCACATGTCCAGGATTAGTATTACATAAACGCATAAATGTCTTCCGCTATATTATGCTACTAACAAAGAAGTGGCTATGAATTCTATTAACAGAAGATCACAGCCATTCAATATTCACTTATAAATTTCGTTCCATAAATCTAAACATTCAGTTAAAAATACTTAACCACAATTCTATGAAAGCTAAAATTTTGACGGATCTTGGTGTCAGAAGAGGAAATCTCCAACTGCAGCCCACGGATTGCTGACCTTAAAGCCGTGGGCCCCCTCGCTGTATGATTCAACACTCCCCCTCAAGTTGGGTTGTACAGGTTGTATAATCCTAACTTGCAAATGAACTTATCAAGCATAGAGCCCAATAGTGCATTTGTTAGAACATTGACAAGTTGTTCATGAGTTGAGGTATATACTACTTCAATTTCTGAGTACTCAATTTTCTCAAATATTAAGTGTTTATTAATGGTAACATGTTTTGTTCCATAAGAATTCTGAACCCCCATTGGAATCTCCATGTAGACTTCTTCTTTTAAGTTCCCATTCAAGAATGCATTCTTGATATCTAGTTGATGTAGGGGCCAATCTAAATTTGTTGCTAAGGAAAGAAGAATCCTGATTGTATTGAGATTTGCAATAGGAGCAAAAGTTTCATGATATCCTATTCTATAAGATTGAGCGAATTCTCTGGCAACCAATATAGCTTTCAGCCTCTCAACACTACCATCCTCCTTATGTTTTATGGAGAGCACCCCTTTGTAGGTCACAACTTTCTTTCCTAGTGTGAGATTCCTAATTACCCATGTTTGATTTTTCTCAAAGGCCATAATTTCTTCTTTAACATCCCGTCTCCATCCTGGGTGATTCAAAGCTTTCCGAATATTGATCGGAATATGCACATCATCCAACTTGAAAAGGAAGGCCTGTAAGTGTCTGATAATATGCTATAGGAAAGAAAGTTTTCAATTAGATGCTTGGTGCATGATTCTTTCTAGCTATTTGATGACTCTATCTCCTTTTGAACTTACACATTTTTCTCCTATGTATGAATCTCTACAATTGTCAGATCTATTGAAGGAGATTTGACAGGTGCAAAATGTGTCTCACTGCTCTGCAATGTTGTTCCTTAATTGCTACTCTTTGTTGGGATCTCTGTTTAAAATTGCGCAATAAGAGGCGCGCCTCTGCGCAATTTGACCCAAAACCGCCTCGAGGCTTACGCAATTCCTCTCCTGGCAGAGGCGTACGCCTCACTTGGACTGAGGCGCGCCTTAGAGGAGCAATTGCGCAATTCTGGCTGAGGCGTACGCCTCAAATATATGCTTAGTACCGCTCAGTATATGCTCGGTACCGCTCAGTATATGCTCGGTATAGCTAGGTATTTGCTCGGTACTGCTAGGTACATGCTCGGTACTGCTCAATACCGCTAGGTACATGCTCGGTACTGCTAAGGAACATGCTCGGTACCACTCGGTATCATCTTGGAAAATACTCGTGGTTTGAATTTCTTGTGATATTTGTTGATTTTGATTGGACACTAGTTGGTTGTATAATAAGGAATTCTACTCCCAAGTTTGAAATTCTCCTTCACCCTTCTCCCAAATTTCAGAACTAGTGAAGTATGGGTTGCTTTCAAAAAAGGTGACATCCACGATTTCAAATATATTCCTAGAAGTAGGGCAAAAGCATTTATAACCTCTTTTTGTTGGGGAATAGCTAATGAATACACTTTTTTTTTTTTAGTTTGGGTCAAGCTTGCTCCTATCTTGTGAATAGATATGAACAAGGGCAGAGCACCCAAAAACTTTAGGTAGAAGATTTGATAATATGAACCGAGCATGAGGATAGACTTTGAGTAGAGTTTGTCTAGGTGTTTTAAATTTTAGTACCCGAATAGGCAACTTATTTATTAGGTATACAGCAATATGAATGGCTTCCCCCCCATAGATAATTTGATACTTTTGTAAATAGCATAATGGATCTAACAACTTCCAAGAGTTGCTTATTTTTCCTTTAAGCTACCCCATTTTGTGGGGGCACATACGCACATGAACTCACTTGGATTATCTCTTGACTTGATAGGTATTCTCTCGTGATAGAATGAAAGTACTCTCTCACATTGTCTGACTTTAAGATTTGAATTTTTGTATCAAACTAGTTTTGAATTATCAGTTTAAATGATTTGAATATCCTTTTAACTTCATATTTTTCCTTCATTAAATAAACCCAAGTGTGTCTAGTATGATCATCAACAAATATCACAAACCTCCTTGCACCACTTATATTTTTAACCTTTGAGGGTCCCCAAATATCACTATGGATCAAGGCAAAGGGTAGAAGGCTAGTAAAAAATATTTGGGTAAGATGATCTGGTATGTTTAGCCAATTGGCAAGTTTCACATTTGAACAAACTTTAATTTTTATTAATAAATAAATGGGAAAAAAGCTTTTCAAGATACATGAAATTTGGATGACCTAACCTATAATGCCACACGAGAATCACTGAATAAAAGAAAAGCGAGCGGAGGCCGGGGCCGAATTTTCGGACCCCACAATGACCTAACCTATAATGCCACACGAGAATCACTATATCTTAATTGACTCTAGAACGACTCTCAACAAACTGACTCACAATAAGATGATTCTTAGAAGCAATTAAGGATTTGGGTGTCTTGATGTAGTATAAACTAGAACACATCTCAGCACTATCAATCTTCTTCTCCAAATACAGTTTCTGAAAATACGTACATTATTGGAGAAAATTATTAACTAATTACTATCAGGAGTCAATTTACTAATGAAAATTAGATTGCACTCAATATTGGGCATATAAAATATAGATTTAAGGGTGATAGCTTATGTGACAAAAGTTTCTGGAGACTGTTGGTTCATGATGTTGTTAAAAGCAACAACTTCAGAACTCTAAATATTCCTTGGTGAAAGGAATGAATGACTTCAGCTTTGATGGATTGATCTTGCGTGGTGTTGGCAGAGTTCGCTTTGTTTTCTTGTGCTGATTTGTTTGCCTTCCAATAAGCTGGTTTTCCATGAATCTTCGAACATGCCTCCTTTTGTATGTCAAAGTTTGGCACAGTGATCACACAATGGTCTTCCTCAGTCTTTTGATGTTGATTTTCAACATGTGAGGGGTTTCAATTGTTGAGAGTAGTAAGAGCATTTTCTTCTTCAACCTTTGGAGATCCTTGTAGGCCTCGAAATATGACCTTTCTTCTGCTCTCTTCCCCTCGAACTTCAAAAAAGGCCTCCCAAAGATTTGGAAGAGGTTTGGTTCCCATGATTTGTCCTCTAATGCCATCAAAGTTCTTGTTCAAACCCATTAAGAATTTGAATATTCTTTTTAGCTCAACAATCTTCCGGTGAAGTGCATGATCTTCTGGGCATTTCCATTGATATTGTTCAAACATATCTAATTGTTGCCAATAGCGGATTATAGTATTAAAATATTGAGTTATCATCAGGTCCTCTTGTCGGTAGTTGTGAAGGATGGTCTCAATTGTGAATAGCTCGAAAATATTGTCAGAATTGGAGTAGATCTCTTTAACGACCTCCCATATTTCTTGGGTTGTCTCGTAAAGAAGAAAGTTCTCACTAATTCTACATCATGGAGTTGATGAGCCAAGAAATGATCTGATGATTCTCTATTTTCCATTTTCTGTAGAGAGGATTGGTTTGCGGTGGTATAGGTACTTCACTAGTGAGATAGTCTCTTTCCCTCTCCCGCAAATAAACATTCTCACTGATTGAGACAATTGCAAAAAATTTTGCCCATTAGATCCGTGGTTTGTTATGAGAGGAGAAGAGTTGTCTACAGATCAAGAGTTTCCGGTGTTTAAACTGGTAATATTTGCGTAGGAGGATGAGATCTTCCTCTCCATGGACATGGTTGGGTTTCCTCAGTTGAAAGAGAAGATGGATTTTGGGTAAGGGCTATCGATGCTTGAAAAGAGGCTATCAGCAGGATGATGGAGAGTTATCGCCGGTTGAAGGTTGGAAGAACGGGAGGAAGGTTTGCCACTGGCACTCAATGAAGGCTTAGGATTTTCCTAAACTCTGAACCATGAAGAAGGTGTTTAGGGGAAATTGAATTCAAATTTTATTCTTTAGAATCATTACATATATATACACTATAGGAGAATAAACAAAAAAGAAAGACATTTAATCTAATTAATTATAATAAAAATAAGAGGAAAGTAATTTAATTTAATTGATTCTAATAATTATATCCTATGGATCTTGGAATCAATTCCACGGATCTTGGTGCCAGAAGATGAAATCTCCAACTGCATACACAGTTGAAGCCCATGAATTGCTGACTTGTCAATGTCGCGGGCCCCCTCCTTGGCGTGTGATTCAACAAGTTCAAATCAATAATTACTCAATTTTACAAATATAGTTTAATAAAGTACAACAAAAAAAAATATTTACACTATTATAAATCAATGAATTGTAGTATATTGAACAATAGATAGACTTTCTTAAACTTAACTTCATATTATTTGAATCATGTGCAATAGGGAGAAAGCTACCTCCATATGGAGCTTTCTTAAGATGAAAGGCTTGGGAAATAACATCCAAGGAACTGCAACAATTGCCATAAGCAATAGCAATATCTGCATAACTAATACATTAGGCTACATACAAAGGAAAAAGCGAGATGAGGTCAATTGTATACAAACGTGACAGAGATCCAGGGATATGAACCTGCAAAGTTTTCTGACCCCAAAACAACTGATTATCACCAAGATTCTCAAGGGGGCTCAAGAACATATAAATCATCACATGATAAAGATCAGCTTTTGATCCTGTGCACCACTTGAGAACAATGAGGAGTGCCAAATAACCGAAGAGGCTGTTGAGAAAAATCATCTGTGGCACAAACTGGTACCTAACAAAAGAAACAGCCACTGCATCATGCTCCAACTTTCTATAGGTTAAAAGAGTGAAAAAACAAGTTTCAAGACTGGCCAGCTCATACCTTATATCTAGGGAGTTCCCATGAAACTTAGCATCAAAGTAACTTAACATGATCCCCAAATTCATCTGGGTAACTCCGAACAATATAGACATCTTCATTTTTAGAGAATTTAGAAATGGAAGCTCAGAGCGGCTGCCACGCCAACTAGGGTCCACCCCAAACTTGTATGGTTCACGATACTTTATAAGACCAGCAGTGTGTGTATCACTGATAAAGTGCATGATATCAGTTACATAGAATTTAATTTCTGGATTAAACCTAAATCTTGATTAATTAAGGGAATCAAATAGATGGAAGGGAGAAAAATCATGCATAATGTTTGTGTGAATGCCTCATTAATATTTAAATACAACTAAGTAAATCACAGAGAACATTCAATATGAACTTGGGGAAGGGGAATGAATAAAAATGAAATTCAATATTGATGTAATAAGAAGAAGAAAAACAAAGAACAGAACTGTGGAACATCAGAAATTCAACTGATAATTACTGCTTTAAAAACAAAACAAATAGCTTAAAATGATTTACATGTAAATTGGCCAGAGAGTTCTGCCATACATAATCGAGGGTAATCGCTTGTTGAGAAAGATAATTTAAACGTAAATATGGACTTTCATTAGCAGCACTCCCCAAAGTACCATCACACTAACAGTCAAAATCAAAAGGTTTTTTTTAGCAGAAAACATTTTCCAGAAACCAAGAGATATTTTAAGATTAAAGTTTCAAGGATGGCTAGATTGGAGCTGCAGGACCAATATATTCAAGAAATTAGGGTGTGCGATTTTTCTACTACAACAGCAATAACAACAATAAGCCCTTATCTCGCTACATGGGGTTGACTACAAGGATTCTTAATTTCGCATTTAAATTTAATAAAAAATGTCATTTTTAATGCTTTATTATTTTTTAATTCAACTCTACCTTTCTTAACATAGGACAAACCTAATACATCTACTCTCAAAATAGCATCATTGGAAGGCCAACATATGTGACGAAACAATCTAAGGTGACTCTCTCTAATTTTATCTACCACTGCAACTACTCCAACTTTGTCGCACATCTACTCATTTTGCATTCAGTCTCTAAGTGTAAAGCCACTCATTCACAAGAGCATCCTCATCTCTGCAACACTTAACATAATTTTATGCTTATCTGTTAATGGCCAATATTTTGTGGCCATACAGTATTTGCAGTTCACACCGCCATCTTTTAAAATTTACCCTTAAGTTTGGGGCACTTTTTGATCACACAAGAAGCTCGAAGCATTTCTCCACTTCAACAATCTAACTTCAATTCTATTAATAATATTCCCATCTATTTTACCATCGTTTTGAACAATAATCCTGAGATAATTAAAACGTACACTATTTTGAATGACTTAATCACTCAATGTCACAATCCTAACACTACATCTATTGATACTAAAATTACAATCCATGCATTATTCAATTTTAGATCTATTCAAATGAAAACCTTTAGACTCAAATGTTAACCTCCAAAATTCATGTTTTCATCAACTCCCTCTCTAGTCTTATCAACAGGAAGAATATCATCAGCAGAAAGAATATACCAAAGTAGATTCTCTTGCAAATGTCTAATAAAAACATCCAAGATTAAAGTAAAAAAGATCTGAACTTAAAGCTGATCCTTAACGTAATCCAACAGAAATAGGAAAATACTTTGTTAAACCACCTTATGTTTAAACCCAAGTAACAACTTCTGTATACATATCCTTAATGATTTGAATATAAGTATTATTAACTCCGTTCTTTTCAAGAACTCTCCAAAGCATTTCTCTTGAACCTTTATCATATAATTTCTCTAAAATCAATAAATAACATATGTAGATCCTCACTCTCTCTATACTTCGCCATTAAACCCCTCAACAAATATATAACTTCCATAGTAGATCTACCTGGCAAGAATCCAAATTGATTTTGATAAAACACTAGTAATCACGCCGTAACCTATGCCCAATTTCTCTCTCACATTATTTTAATGTATGACACATTAACTTAATTCCTCTATAACTTGTACACTCTTATCCATCACCTTTATTCTTATAATTGGAACCACACACTCCTTCATTCATCTAGCATCTTTAAGTTTTCAAAATAATATTAAAAATATTAATAAGCCATGAAATTTCTTGATCTCCTAAGCATTTCCATACTTCTATTAGAATATCATCAGGTCCTATTATTTTTACACACTTTATTTTCTTTAAAGCCTCCCTAAATTCAATTTTATAAATATGATACAACAAAAACATTAAGCATTTGTCCCACTACGTGGTGTCGGCTACATGAATATTTTTTCACCATTGTATCCTGTTAAAAGTCAAATTCTCATTTAAATCTAATAAAGAAATATCATTTTTAATATTTTCTAACCAAGTCTTTTTAGGTCTACCTCTGCCTTTCTTAACATAAGTCAAATTTAATACCTCAATTTTTCTAACCGGGTCATCGGAAGGCCTCCATTTAATGTGACCAAACCATCTAAGGCGACTCTCTCTAATCTTATCTTCCACTGGAGCTACTCCAACCTTTTCACGTATATGCTCATTTCGTATCCTCTCTCTAAGGGTAAAGCCACTCATCCACCTAAGCATCCTTATCACTGCAACACTTAGTATTATTCTTCTCTTTTAATGGCCAACATTCGGCACCATAAAGCATTGCAGGTCTCACCACCATCTTATAGAATTTTTCCCTTAAGTTTGAGGGGGACTTTTCTATCGCACAACATGCCCGATGCATTTCTCCACTTCAACCATCCAACTTGAATTTTGCTGATAATATCCCCATCTATTTCACCATCATTCTGAACAATAGATCCAAGATATCTAAAACGTGTACTCTTATTAATGACTTGATCGCCCAAAGGTACAATCCCCTCACTAGGTCTATTGCTACTAAAATTACACTCCATATATTCAATCTTATATTTGCTTAAGCGAAAATCTTAAGATTATGATGATAAAAAAAATCCCTATTTTTATTTAGGCCTAAGGTCATTAAAGCTAATCGTAATCTCACAACCTTCATTGAAAAGTTTATCAAAATATCACATCCATCTATGTTGATTATCCTATTCTAAAAAAACACTTTAATTTTCATCTTTAATGCACTTCACTTGAAATAAATATTTACTTCTCCTATCTCTTTACTTGCTAACTTATATATATAATTTTCATTCTCCTTTGTACCTATTTTATTATATAAATCACTAAAACTTAAATTTTTGCATCACATACTGCCTTTTTAGAATCCCTACGGGCCCCTCTATATCTTTCTAAAATTTTTAATTTTTTACATCTAAACAAATTTTTATGAAAAATATTCTTGTTTTTTATTTTTTCTTGCACATTTTAGTTTCAACTTCAACTGCTTTTACTCTTAAAAATCATTTCTTTTTATTCTCCAAGCCCATACTGTAACATTTAGCTTGATGTAGCTGACCCAACGTAGTGGGACAAAGGCCTGATGTTGTTGTATATCATATCATGGTTTAAAATTGCGCAGTTGAGTATTCAGGCATTTTCATTCCTGAGGTGAAGCATAAACCTCAAGACACTTTGAGACTTAAGCCTCAAAATAAAAAAATTGTGTAAAGTGAAAATAAGAATTAAAAGTGTTTTTTTATATAATATCAGAAAAATTTGTTAAAGGAAAACAAATTAACTTTCTATTGAATTATGAAGTAACATTAACATACATATGAAATAAAAATTTGCACAAGATACAAAATGATAAGTGATAAATTGCATGAAATAGAATTGAAATCCAAATATTATAAGAGAAAAACTACATAAAATATAGGAATTGCATAAAAGTATTAAATAACATCAATTCAACTTCAAATTCCTTCTTTATGAATTCCCTAATTATCCACATTTAATTCCTAAAGAAAGCTGACATAGTTGACAACAACTCAGGAATCATCTACACTGTTATCACTGAGCGATCCTTTATTTGAGTTGTCATCATAATAAATTGGGCTCTCCCTTGCCTCATCTTGTGGAGTCAAATGCCTCCGAATCTAATTCTTCCTTATTTAATTCAATTCTCTTTCTCTTTCATAAATGTTTACCTTCAATATAAAGATAAGATTAACATTCCAAAATTTTTAGGGGAGGAGGTGGTGGTGGTGTGTAGCTTTTAAATGATCCCCAGTGACGGCTATAATAATGATTGTTACAACGAAGGCGGCGGGTTGGAGGTTGAAACACTCGAGAGGAATTTGTTGTGGCTTCGGGGTGCATAAGGGTGTGCTTTGTTCGGGGCTTCAGTTTAGGATTTATATATGTTTTAATAATAAAATATATAAATAGAGTGAGGCTTACGACTCATGATAGCAAGGCGAACCTCAAGACAAGCCTCATCCAAACCGAGGCACAAGCCTCATTACAAAGGCTCGAGGGCGGTTTTCACTGAAATTGTGCTGAGGTGGACCTTATATTGTGCAATTTTAAACAATGCTTTAGATACCTCAATGTAATCCTAGGACAATGTTTTACTTTATTTTTTAGTTTTCACTCTTTTATTTTAAAGTCAAAACTAATAAACAATACTAGGCACGTAAACTATCACTCGGAATGATTTTATAGTATTTGCAATCTAAACAATTTATTTTTCTTATAAGAAAATAATTAGAGTCTTACTATGACCATTCATATAAGTGATGAGATGCTCATCTGTTTTCTCAAATAAAGTATTAACAATTACAAAATCATAAGCTAGAGCAAAATTTAATATGGTCCTATTACCTTCATTAGTTGCTTCAAACCTATAACCACCATAAATATTTTTTAAATTTGTTACCACAATAACAACATTGTCAATTAAATCTACTTCAATAAAAGCTCTTTTTTTAAGAGATATTTTTGTATTCATTCATTTAAATTATTTAAATTTTTTTTTTCAACACATATCCAAACCTACTCGATGAGTATAAATACTAATAACATTAATAATCTTAATATTAAGAACAATATTTAAAACCATAATTTTATCTTCAATTCTATTAATATCTATAATATTATCATATAATGTTTTATTTCTAATCATACCTACACCATTTCTAGTGCGAACCCTATCAGAATATTAAAGTTCAAATCCTAAACTATAATTTCTTTAGTCTTTTCCCGAACCCATTCAATTTTCTAAATACATAGAATATTTATCTTCCTATGAATTATAATATATATTAATTTCAATTATTTGTCAATAAAAGTACATATATTCTATGTTCATATTCTAATTCTAGTTTTATGGCTTTTTTGCCCACATTTGCCCATGATGTGGGAAACCTTGCTTATTTAAAACTATACCCGGGTGTCAGTGCAACGACTCATGCACACTTTTTGCTATATTCAGGCTATATGACGAGTCACTTCTAAGAAATGCCCTAACATTAACAAAATATATTAAATGATTCATGTCATAATTATTCGATAAATTTTATGTTGGTTGTCGACTACCTAAAGCAACACTCTTTTTTCTCATCCAAGGTTTATGAGATTTTTTTGGCCATTCAAAAAGAATAAAGTCAAGAACTCACTCCTGATGTCAAGTTAAAAGTCATATTTTATGGACTTTTACGCGCCAAAAAAATAAATCCTTTTATTTACAAATGAACTGAATATTATAAGTTATAAAAGGTAATTGATGATTTATTGGAAAAAATATTTCTCGCAGTTTGAAAGCATATGTGAGGCTAGAGACATCAAACTATCAAGATAAGCAACAGATCAAAATGATATGATATATGCACCCCATGTAAGGAAAAACTTGTGCTTAAACGTATCAAATAACTAAAATAAAAGTAAATTTAACAGAACATCTCACAAACCTGTGCAAAGGAGAAAAAATGTCAAACTTACCTACAACTTGGATCTCGACATTTATAGGCAGATGAACCAAATATATGATATGGAACAGAGAAGAATTCGTTATAGATCAATCCACAGTAGATGGAAAATAAGGCCATTAGAAGTATTACATAGCGCCCACCAAATGCCATCTCCATGAAGCTGCCCAGTTTCTGAGGAACAATGCACATGAAGTTATACGGGAAAAAAAACAACAACAATTTGCAAAATAAATCAAACCAAGGAACAAATAAAGCTTATTTAAGTGAGTAACGAAAATTCATCAGTACCTGCATGTGAAAGAATTCTTAACAATAGAACCTCAAAAGAACATAATGATCAATGTTAAAGTAGGCCAACAAAATTGTACATCTAGTCTCCTTCTAAAGCATGAATTTTAAGTTTCAACTTAAAAAGAGGTACACTGTTTTTCAAGCTTCACACTTGGATGTGGAATTCCCTGGTATCAATATTATTTCGTCTCTATCAAAATAACATTATTAAAGCTGAAATGGTTTTAGGTCCGATCCTAACTCATTAATCTGTATCATTAGAATTTTGACAAGAATGTAACAAACAGCACTTGCAAGATAGAAGGCTAAGAAAAAAAATACATCTGTTGATAGAAGGCTAATCAAGATATTGCCCTGTCTTGGAATGCTTTATAGGTCGAGGTAGACAAGAAAGTGAAAAATAAGAAGCCACTCTGACTTAATATAACAACAAATTTAAAAGGATGTTTTTCGGATACTGATATGGAGTTGTTATGCTGTGTCTGTGAGCTGCTGGTGGGTTTGGATGGTTTCGTTATGGCTCTATGATTGATACAACATGAATATGCTGTAATAAACCTAAATGATCATGATCAACTAAAGGCTCCATAAAAAAACAGAGCTTATTTAACAAGTGGAAGAATTCATTGAATTTTTTAAAATGTATAATAAGCGTCAGGCTGACAGAAAGACAGTTTTGATGTAAAACGATAATGTTTCAAACACTAAAAATCATTAGCATTACCTTCTCGTCAACCAAGTTTTAGTACACTTCCAGCCATGTATATCCACCATTAATGCAATTAATCAAATTAACCCAAACATCCAAATATAATTACCACGTAATTGAAGAAATAGTAGAAGATCACATGAATAATTGGAGTCATATAATGAAAAACCTTGCGATTGTGCAAGCCTGGGTTTGCTAGCCAAATTAATTGCCGATTACCATCTTCTTGGCCATTCAGTTACAATATAACAATTTTCTTATGTAATAATTGATCAGCTATAAATGTAACATAAACACATACCATGAGCTGAAATCTGCTCAACTCATTTTACATTCACTATGAAATTTAACAAATGATTGAACATAGTTGGTGGCAAGGGTTAGTTCTTATATACTGTGCCTATGACGCCATTCAAGAGCTCCATACAGAAATACCCATAAAGAATCTAAAGAATACGAACTCAATTATTAAAACCCATATGTTTCAACAATCTTGCATGAGGAGATAAGCATCCAAGATGATCTCTCTGTGAGTCTCTGAAAGGGAATGCTCGTGGGGGTTAGAATGCAAAGAATTTGATATAATTACACTATCCCATAAGACAAAATGGTCGCGGACCTTTACACTATACATAAGCAGGCAAATGAAAGAGCAGATTGAATCATACACATGATCACCCACAAAAAATAGTGACTTTCGCCTACACATCTCGATGGATAATGATATATATGATTCAAGAGTCACAAGATTTCCTCCTATCGATACATCAGCTCAAATGAGATTTATTTGATGTGGGTATCAGTTTCCCATGAGCGAAAGCCCCCGTGGTTAATTACATCTGTCACACCTCAGTTTAGTTCAATCTCTAACAAGCAAACTGGAGTATAATAGAGAAGGATTTCAACATATCAAACTCCACACTTAATAATAGGAAGCATGTAATATTCCTTACTGAACATCAACATAATTAAAATAAATACAGAGCTCCACTAAAACTTTTAAAATTCATTTACATATCCAAAAGTCTTTACATCTAGCATTCAAATCTCGTTTTAAATCTCTTTGCACACCCAAAACGTATTTACATCAAAAGAACGGTCACCTCGTTTTTATTGTCCCAAGGGCTCCTTCCCCTTTCCTGCAATACAATCACTGATAATGAGCTTGGCTCAATGAAATACACAAGCAATTTATAAGAAATAATATTCATTAAGAAATACCATAACAATGCTAACATAATTAAAACACATATTGAAATGTCATATTGAGTCTGAAAGTGCCTAGCAATATTATTTATCTTGCCAAAACTATTCCACATCTTTAAATAAGTTATATAATGATTGAGAGGAGATGCGAAGTCGGAGGTTGGGTCGTCGCTAGCGGCTTGTTGGAGATCGGAGGAGGCGACTTGATGCTTGCGGGTAGCGATTGGGAGAGAGGAGTTCGGGAAGCAGAGGATCGAAGAGTTTCGTTCGATCGGCTTTTAAAGGCGTCTAAGGGGTGCGATCGAGGCTGCGGGATTTAGGCAGGAATCGCAGAGAAACGACGTGAATCGGCGCTGCCAGCGTGATTTCAGCAGGATTCTGGGGATTTCAGTCGGGATTTCGGGCAGATATCGTGGATCCGCCAGATATGATTTTGATTTTTTTTTTGTTCTACCGGTTAATACATAGAGGTTAACAAAACGGCAGCCTTGCGATGATCTGGTTAGGAGAGTAGAGGTATTAGATTTGACTTATGTTAAGAAAGGTAGGGGTAGACCTAAAAAGACTTGGTTCGAAAATATTAAAAATGACCTTTCTTTATTAGATTTAAACGAGAATTTGACTTTTAATAGGACACAATGGAGAAAAAGGATTTATGTAGCCGACCCCACGTAGTGGGATAAAGGCTTGATGTTGTTGTTGTTGTTGTTGTTGTGGAAGTTGTTCTCTCATTCAGGGTTGAGTCAAATTTCTCAACTTCTAGAATTAAGAGTGTAGACTTACCTCATCAGGTCTTTCGCCTTTACTTGTGTGGACCTATCTCTCATATATAACTTATTTCACTTTTCATATAGTCATCTTTTTTAGCCGTAATGACATATGCTTTTAATGACATAGTTACGCTTTAGCTGTTCTTCAGTTACCCTTTAGTTGCCCTTTAGGTGCCCTTTAACTGCCCTTTAGTTGCCCTTTAGGTGCGCTTTAGGTGCCCTTTAGGCACGCTTTAGGCGCGTTTTAGGTGCGCTTTAGGTGCACTTTACGTACCCTTTTTGCTCATTCACTAGTTTATGAATATTTACCCTTTTATGCTTACGAAATCATTCACATTGCTAAAGATTACCCTTTACATAAACAATTTCATACATAAACAATCATATTCATATAAAATAATCAAAATAAACTAGAATATATGTGATCGTAAACATAATCAAGATGAAGTGTAATAATAAAATATTTATTAATTCTTATAACCTTGTTTGGGTATCTTACCTCGAGAGGAATTGGTTCTCCTAGACTATACTTTCTTTTCCTTTTATACACAACCTTTATTAAACTTCCTCATTCAACACAACACCTTTTTTCAAATTTTGGTCACCACTATACCAGTTCATTCCTCCATATTCTTGAATTAAGCAACCACCACCTTCAACTATATTTTAGAAATTCCAAAATTATAATTCAACACAAAAATTACAGAAATTGCTATCTCATATTTTTGAAAGCTTAAAACTCCTACCTTAATTTCATTATCTAATAAATCAGCTACCAAACTTGAAATTCCAACACACAACCCACCTCTTTCAGCTCCAGTTCTCTCACGACTTGCAGAGCTTCGTCTCTTGAATGGAAAGGAAAAAATAAAATGAAAGAATGGCTACAGGTGTTACTAATATAATAATATAACCATTCCACTAAGAATACATTCTTTATATATTATATAATTAATTCCACTAAGCCACTATACATTAATGCTATACGTTGGATGAAGTATGAGAGGGATCAGCCATTGCATGCCAAGCTAAGTGGATATGCTACAGTAACCGTAAATAGGAAAATGGATTATTTTCTTTAGCAATTAAATCATTCATTTAAATTAATACTAAGTATTATTACAGCTAATAATTTTAATTAAGTGTTTAGAACAAACTCATTTAAATGATAACATGCCTTTTATATGAATACAAATAATTATACTATAAGGATCAAAATTAAAATTAAAAGCTAATAAAATAATTTGACATTTTCCATATATGAAAAAAAAAATAATGAATGATTTTATTGAGAAATATTCCTACTTACTTTTAACAGATTTAGGATATTATAACATCTTAGGCTTCAACCTATGAACACTCTCGATGGGAATACTATTTTATTCTCTTCTTGGTTTGATACATGGTGGGATTCCTAGGTTCTTCTAAAGCAAAGGAGATAGTCTTTAATTTGCATCCAAAGATTTTTCTCCTACTTTAGTAAACTAAATTAGGGTTTATATTAACTTGGTTCTAAATTCCCTTTAGAGGTAAGCCCTTAAAGTTAATTATATCTCCGAAGAGAAAAAATTCTTGATTAAAGTGAGAATTAGACATTTTTAATATATGAAGATTTGATTAAAATTTGAGTTTAAATGACTTAAGATTAATTTACTATTTTAGAAGAAATCATAGATTTAAAATTTATTAGGAATTAAAGAAGACACTGAGGGTGTACAATCTAAACTTTTGTCTGCCTAGAGTGGAAGCCAGCTAACATCTTAAACATCAATGAATGCCTTATGAATGCAAATATAGGATGACACTAATCCTAATAATTCATTTAATTGAAATATAAATACAACCCGGGGTCTGCTATAAACATAAGGTGGTCAAGCTCCACTACAACATACTTGGGTTTCTATACCTATGAATGGAGTGGGTTTAAAGATAATTGCTTATTATCTTTTAGCTCTGAGTCTCCTATAAGATTCCAAAAGAGAACACCTTCCAGAGGTGAGGGGATCATCTTTTAGAGCCTTATATTTATATATAAGCAATCACATCTGACCTTTTACAATTCTTTAAATTTGTATAACTCGATCTAAATACATTCTAAATGCTTTATATTTACATTTGACTCTTACATATACATTTCTTCCAAGGTATATTCCACTTCATCCTTTTGTAATAAATAAAATGGGTCATAAACATAAATGCAATGCATATATGAATGTATCGTAGGTGTATATAATTTAATAAATTAAGTACACCAAAAAAATAATCATGCATGCTATGACATCCAGAGTGCATGAATATAAACAAACATATCAAGGATATCCTCCCGGCAAAGGTACCGGCATCACAGCAAAACACACTATTGGTTTAGCCTAAAACTAGAGTCAGTGATCTTAGCAAACAAGTTATAATGTGTGAAAAGGGTTGTGTCTTTGATATGTTTCATAAGGTTTGATGTTTGAGTTGTTTAAAATTGAAGTTATTTGTTGGTTATAGATCAAGGAACATTTTGATTTAAGTTTAAGTTTAGTATTTTGAAATTTTATTAATTAAATTTTAGAGTATTTTTATTTTTAAGTTCTAAGAAAAAATAGCCTTATGAATTCAATATATGTATGCTCTCCAAAATGAGCAAACATAATATATAAAGTTTTTTATTTTATTGATGAATTATTAATGATTAATTAATATAAACCTCATGATCTTTTACTGGGTTTCTACAAAATAGCCCTAAGTTTTTGATAGTTACTTCACTGGTGCTTGTCCATTGGTTTCCAGTCGTAGCACCTCTATTTGGAATAAATAGGCAAACCTCATGACTCTTGAATAATATATATCATTACCCATCGAGATATATAGGCTAAAGCCGCTATTTTTCATTAGTGAACGTATGTACGATTCAATCTGCTCTACCATTGGCCTGCTTATGTAGAGTGTAAATATCCGTGATTGTTTTGTCCTACGGGATAGTGTGAGCATACCCTTTTAATTCTAACCCCTGCGAGCATTCCCTTTGAAGACTGACACTCATGTAAAGGATAAGAGATAGATACACATTTCTTCTCCCTTTTTTTCACTATAAAAAGGAATGGTAATGATAAATGTAAATAAAACAAAGGCCGAGGAATTTGAGAAAACCTATGTTTGGGTAATACACAAGAAAACATGAACAAACAACTAATTTAAATGGAGGAAATGTAGTACAAGCATGAGCGGCCTATAACAATCATAAGTGCGCAAGCATCATTTAGCTCATTGAAAGTATCTTCTATTTTCTTGGTAAATTTGCAAGTTCTGACACGGTATTTTGGCATTTTAAGAGCTACTCTCTCATTTCTGATAAAGAATGCTATCATTCAAAAATAATTTCAGATGGTTTTCCCTCTTCCTTCTAAAGAGAAGATTCAAATGCCCTCAAGTAACAAGGAATGGCATCATACTACAAAAAAATAATTTTATATTCATACATGCAATTAAGAACAATAATTTACACGAGAAAACCTGCCTGAGATTCAAGTTTCCGTTCACGGAGTATAAGGAACAGTGCTGCAAATAACAAGCATATTCCATGGCCCCAATCACCAAACATTACCGCAAAAAGGAAAGGAAATGTTATAACTGAATAAACAGAAGGATTTGCCTCCATATATCTCGCAACACTGAAATAGAAATACTTATCAATAATGGAAGGTCAATTAGTTTAAATAGATTCTAAGTTCTTATAGATCTAATAAAAAGCATCTTCCATAGAAAACTACACAGTATGGACTATTTGCATGGAAATCTAAAGAGACAGACCCATATGCATCAACGATTTCCTGAAAAGCATGAGTAAATCGATTGGTTCTAAAATATGTTGGAGGTGATTCAGTGGCATCCATAACATGAAATATTATTCCCAACTGTGAGTTGCTGTCAATGGTTGCACGCTGTAGCGAATCTTTGATCTATAACAAAATGGAAAACTAGGTAAAATTAGCATAATCAGTATTCCAGATGATGAGAATTATTACTGGTAAAATTTCAAACAACAATGAAATTTTCTGAAAGAGAAAATAGCAATAAGCTATATGACATGGTGAGCTTTGTATAACCTGAGGTTTAGCAAATGCAGGACACCATCCTTCCCCAACAAGGCATTTTTTGGTTACATCAAAATTGAGCTTATTTAAAGTGTCATAGACAGCTTTCTCCTTCTTAACCTAGGAGAATAAATTGAATATCTCAAGTCAAGAATGAATGCCTAACTCAAAAGAATGCATAAATGAACACGCAGTCTGTTTGCCAAACTCCAACCACAGCAAGAACCAATTGACCAGTTACAGACAACAACAAAAATTACCATCATAGTCCACCTCCAAAGTTGGCAACCAATTGAGCTCAATGCCTTGTTTCTATGATGGATACCAGCATTCAAAGTGGTCTCAAGTTCTGAGAGACGAGATAAAACCTGAAATGGAACCAGGCAAAATGAACAAGAGATATTCAGAAACTAGGAATTACGGTTAGCCATTGTTCAGCATTCATCCTTCTATGGAAAAATATGTTATACCGTGCTTCAACGACTTTAGAGCATGCACCATTTTTCAAAAACATATTATATAATTTTCTGAAAAAGTCTAAAAGAACTTATAACTAAATTTATCGAATGCACAGCATGTATTAAGTTCACAAAATTATACTAAGAGATTAAAATTTGAGCAGGCTTCCAAACCAAAATAAACAGTCAAGTTACAAAACTTTGTCACCAAACACTCCTAGATGTGAGGATAAGAGAGCAAGAATCTTAAATCAATTTTTTGAACATCCATAGAAAGACAAACTAGAACTTTGATTCGCACTAAAACCACAGAATTCAAACTAGGTCGAAATTGGTTGGTTCAAACTTCGATTCAAAATGAAATTCAGGTCATATCAACATTTTGATTCTTCTATCTAATTTTGTGTTTCATAAGATGACAACAAGCCATTGTTGCTATTCCATAACCTTCGGCCTGTATCCCATCTCATAGGTCTTGTCGTCATGTGGATCATGTTCGCTATGGCATTTTCTTCATGGCCTAGACCCTCATTCGGAATTAACTTTATCTAAGTCTTTGCATCACATATTGCATTCTTAGACTCCTTACAAATCCCTACATATCATTTCCAAATTTTCAAACTTTTATATCTAAACCAATTTTTATAACAAACTTTTTTATTTTTTGTCTTTTCTTGGACACTTTAATTCAACTACCAAGTATTTTTTATTATTAGGACTTTTTCCTTTATTCCAAACACATTCTTTATAACATTCTTAATATTATTAATCATTTTTTCCACATAACATTAGCTTGTTCATGCACAATAAAAATCTTAAAATCTTGAATCTTATTCTCGAAAATCTTTTTTTAATATTCTTTAAATGCCCCCATCTAATTCTAAAATAACATTTTATTATATTTTCAATTTTTGATCCTTCATCATAAAGTTTAAAACTAATAAACGACATTGGGTACCTAAACTTTCACTCATAATAATTTTACAATCTTTATAATCTAAATGATATATTTTTCTTATAAGAAAAATAATCAATCTGAATTTTATTATATTCATTCTTATAAGTAAAGTGATACTCTATTTTCTTAAATAAGGTATTAGCAATTACAAAATCATAAGCTGAGCAAAATCTAAATGGTCACTACAAACCCATAGCCATTATGATTGCTTTTAAAATCTTCTACCACTATGCCAACGTGTACATTTAAATCATCTCCAATAAAAATATTTCTTCAATAGATATAATTTGTATTAATATTTCTAATTCATTCTAAAATTTTAATTTTGAACATTTATCCAAACTTACTTGAGTAAGAACTTATAATATTAATAATCTCAACATTAACAACAATCTCTAAAGCTATAATTTTATCACCAATTATATATATTTCTACAATATTATCCTTCAAATTATTATCTATAATAACACCTATACCATTTCTAGTACAACACTTACCTGAATACCATAGTTTAAATCTTAAACTATCAATCTTCTACTCAACCCATTTAGTTTTTTGAATGCATAAAAATATTTATCTTTCTATGAATCATTATATATATAATATATATAATTCTAAATCTAGTTTTAAGGACTAGCTTTTTTCCCACATCCATCCATGATGTGGGAATTTTGGCTTATTTAACACTACACTTGAGTGCTAGTGCAGTGGCCATTGCACACTTTTTGTTGTATTTAGGTCATACATAACGTCGCTTCTAGAGAACGCCCTAACATTAATACATTGTGTTAAAGAATTCATGTTTTAATTATTCAAAAAATGTTATGCTGATTGTCGACTACCAAACACAACCCTACACTTTTCTCATCCAGAACTTAGGACCTGACAACGACAACATTAGATGCATACCACAACCTAATCAACCGAGCCAACACAAAGCTAATAAATCCATAAGTAAGTAACATTAACAAGGCTAGTACAAAACAAGTAGACTTACTAGGTCAACCACATGTAAGACTCAAGCCTCTATCGAGTTATAACAGCTACACAAGGCCACAAAATACCATTTTAGGGTTACCATGTTTGTCAATCAAAACCTTCAGCTAGCCATAACTTGCTTACCAAGCCTTTACCCACTGAACCAACTAAACTTTTGTGTTGCTTAGACATGTTTTTTCGAGTCAACCTAAAGCTTAACAACTGACATAATGTCATGCCTCTTAAGCGTATCAGTCATATCTAATATCCCTAAAATATAAGTGGCTATAAGGCATACCTCTAAACCATTCAATTAAGCAGGTATAGCAAGTCATCTAATCATGAGTTAAGTCAATCTTAAAAGTAAGTATTGACATTTTCAACCCAATTTACTCAGAGTACATGAGATGAGAAAGCCATGGTCAGTATCCCTAAACGTTACAACTCTAGGTTCTGGAAAATTTGATCCACTAACAAACCTAGGATAATTGAACCAGGGGATATTAATTTAGTTTACTTCCACCCCATAACCCATTTCCCTGTCAATCAAATACAAATATAAATAGCAATTTCAGTCTAAAATTGAGCCTAAGAGATCTTTTTAATTGAGAGTGCTCTCCCAGATCCTAGAGGAGTAGATTTGCACCTATAAAAAATCATGGTCTAATTTAACCAAACTCTAACCCAACATTAGAAAAAAATATGATTAAATCAATTTGCAGCTTTAAAGTGCAATAGAATATATAAGTTTTAAATAATTTCATCAGAGCTCGGCAGCTCTTTTAGGAGCCCACACTTGCGTTTTCCTTAACTTGTATAAGAAGAGCATGAATTTCCTATAAAAAGATTCCTAGAACTCAGCTTCTTCATTCTAAGAGCTAGATCGAAATTATTCATCCGTCTTTCATAAAACGTTCTTCCAGTCGCCTCTATCATTACAAAAGTCCAATTTTTAAGCCATGCAAACAAAAAGAAATTAAAAAAACATATAAAACAGCATGACTTGCGGATATATAGCCCATGAAAATAAGCAGTTGAGTTTGCATGAAAATCAGTCTTAAGGAGCATACCTCCCTTGAAATTTGCTTCTGTTTATTCATATCTTCGGGAACAGGATAGCAATTTGCACCAAATGAATCACAGATCCTAACAATTTTAGTTTTCGCTTGCTCCCCTGAAAAGAATACAACAAAGACAGTCTTTTCTACCTGCATTAGAAAGAATAAACAGGTATAGTTAAAGATAAAGTTGGATTGTCCAGAAAAAAAAAACAATTAAGCATATTGCCCCAAAAATTGTAATCAATTAGATTCATGATGTGAGTATAACATTTCATAACAATACACAAATATGATGTTCAATAAAATGGAATACGTATTTTTTGAGTAAAAACGGACAAATAAAACAATAGAATAAAAAAAATTGGAGGTTTGCAGAAAAACTAAAGAAAGAAGCATCAAACCATTTCACCAGATATTGGATCCATGACATGTTCTCCAGCTGGTGCGTGATGAAAAAACATGTTGCCCCTTGTAGCTCTGAAGAGCATTCTCTCAAATCTTAGAGCATTGGCTTTACAAATTATCCCACTGATGAATCTCAAGCCATCTTTTTTAGAAAGTTCGGGCTGAATTTTCTTCAAAAGAACTTTTAGCTTATATAATCATATTTGAACTTCAAAATTTAAGAAATGAGTTATGGAGAACACCTGTTCTAGTAAAGATAGGTTTCCTTCATCGTCTTCAGCAGTATACACATTTTCATCCAACTCTCTCTCAGATGGCGCTGCATGATTTTGTGCTGAAACAAGAAAACCACCTGCCTGGAACGAGGAAGTATGAGAAGGCAGAGATAGTATGAAGCATGACTGACACAGAAACAGAAATAGGAAGCGACAGGCATAAAAAGTAGGATATGAACAAGATGTTTTCTTTTATAAATTATTAATACAAAAGATGTAATAAAAAGTGTAATAAAAATACCTAATGTCAATATTTTCTATTAAAAATATCACAATAAACTATAAGGGGATTTATACACATAACCCAAATTGTTATGTATTTACATATTTAACACCTAAATCTTATATACTACTTCAGTTTTTAAATCACATCAAAATACATGCATGAAAAATCTTAGTGGTCTTTTTATGCAATTTAGAGATTTGAGTATTATATAAGTCAATATAAATTTTGACATGTCAGAAATGTAAATACATAAAAATTTTGTGTTATGCATATAAATCCCCCTAAACTATTATATCATCCGCATTTTTTAAGAAAATAAAATGATCGAGAAAAGAAAAATTTACATTGATTTAATTATAATTACATTTTAATATTTTATCTAGTGCACTATGTTAAAAACGAGGATCTGAAAGGGAAAAACTTGAATTTTATTACGCAATATACTCCCTATTTATAGATCTATACAAGGTGTATCGATAAGGAAACAAATAACTCTTATAATAACATGAATATAATTATTCCTAAATTAATGGGAGGAATTAATGCAATCCATGTAGTCTTCCCACGGATTACTGTTCACAGCCGTGGATATCTTTGGGATCGTAAGGTTGAGATTTAACACACTATATTGTTAATAACACACTAACATTAGCATTAACCATCCGACCTGATTTTATAAGATTTTAAGATGACCTAGATTTAAAATTGCACAATTGAGTATTTAGGCATTTTTCATTCGTGAGGCAATGCATAAGTCTCAACGCGTTTTAAGGCGTAAGCCTCAAAATTTAAAAATTGTGTAAAGTGAAAATAAATGTTTAAAGTAATTTTTTTTTATAATAATCAAATGATATATTAAAACATAATATATTAACTTTCTATTAAACAATGAATTAACAAATTGACATACTTATGAAACAAAAATTGCACAAGACATAAAATGACAACTAATAAATTACGTGAAATAGAATGGAAATCCAAACATCACAAGAGCAAAACAACATTAAATATAGAAATTGCATAAATATATCATATAATAAGTTCAACTCCAAATTCTTTCTTTCTCAGTTATCTACTCATTCACATTTAACTCCTAAAAAAAGTTGACATAATATGACAACAGCTCATAAGTCATCTGCATTGTCATTAATGAGGGGTCTTCATTTCTAGCACCAATGTCTTCTTCAATAGAGCTTCACTAACATTAATAAAAACTACATAGTTAGCAAAGATAACTAATTGGAGAAAAAAAAAAACTTCATTATTCAAGTTTGTGCCAACTATGTCAAGGCCTGACCCGATGATGACAGCTCTTTGACAAATGTCAAGGCATATATGCTCATGTCTGACATGAACACCAAAAGCATTTTGAAGAGCCTGTGCTTCACAACATTGATATTAACGAAAGGCCGTGTTAGAGAAAAAGAAGAAAGATATTAAGAAAAAGCAAGAGAAAGGATCATACCAAATCAAAGAAAAAAAGAAAAAATAAACTAATGTTTGCATTGTCGTAAAATCTAGTAGAGACTATTTTGTAAGCCCACAGCAATTATAGGTCTAACCTTGCTACATAAAAATTCATATCAAAGCATTTTATTTATACCTATTACGAACCAAACCATAACATGTCTAAAAGGTCTAGTTACCTTGACCTTAGTCACCCCAACTGCTCCCCTCAACTTTCACTGGTGCAAAAATCTCAAGCCTCACCATTTTTTCCCTCATCACCTATACTTTGAGGTTTAAGGAGAACACCACTTGAGTGAGTCATCCTCAAGATCAAGTCCTCTTCTTCACACAGCTAGCTCAAGACCACATCCCTTATTCTTTCTTTTTCCTCTCGAGCACTAATCCCACCTTCTTTCATCACTGTGAAGACTCATCACAGCCATACAACCCATCCTCGACGTCTCATACACTTGTACCTGACACCCAATCCAACCCCCCCCCTCTTTCCCGCATTAGCCATCGCAGCTTATTCTTCATTGGTACGGTTCCACTTATCTGTCCCTAAATTTCTACCACTAATGATGACATCTTCAAGTTTTTATTGAGATTGGCACCACTGATTGTCGAAAAGCTTCTAGTAACATCATTGTATACTTCTACCTTAATTTCTGTATCAATTTAAAGATTAACTAGAACTCCAATTAACTTGATTTTTAAGACCTTATCACAATTTACGGGTTGATTATAATATTCTTCGAAATTGTGCACCACAACTATTAAGATGTTTATTTTCTTAAATGAAAAATGGGTGTTTTTATTTAGTTTATATAACTCTTATATATTAAATTGAAATCGATCAAGTTAATATGATAATAGATCATCCATGTTAGGCTATCATTATGTGTTGCAATAATAATACCACAACAATTAAGATGTTTATCTTCATAAATAAAAAAATGGGTGTTTTTATTTAGTTTAATTCAGATAAAACATATTAAATTGTAATTGATTAAGTTAATATGAGAATAGATCATTCATGTTAGGTTATGATTATATGTTACAAATAATAATATTATTAATGATTCCTCTTTATTTTTCTAAATGTTTTTTGTTTAGTGCTTGTTTGGTGTTATTTCTTTAGAGCTGTAAGAGTGTGTTTATGAGTAATACAACTCGACATAAGTAATTTTGAATTATGGGAAGGTGAATGTACCCTTTTTTATCAAAAGGTTTATCGTTTATACTTGTAGAAGGTTCTTTAGATACTTAGTATATTGTCAGTCATCACCTTTCACATTCAACTAACCTTCCACATTTTTGTAATAATTTTAATGCTCGTATTGAAATGCCATATGATGTATAGATAGCATTTCACTATTAATTACTACATAAATCTTTTAATTTTGAAATGATCGATAGAATATTTTTATAACACACTCAGAACATGCACATAAATTATGTATGTTGCATGTGATGGATGTAAATTAGTAGAACCTTTTTGTTATAGCTGCCTAATTATCACACTTTTTAATAATATTTTGAAGACTAGAAAGATGTCAGATGTATGGAGAATGAGTGTGTTGATTCCTATCTTAAAGAATAAAGGTGATGCACAAGATTGTGCGAATTATAGAGGAATTAAGTTATTGTGTCATATATTAATACTACGGGAGAGAGTTATGGAGCATAGGTTACGATGTGATACTAATGTTTCTCAAAATCAATTTGGATTCATGTTGTGTAGGTTTACTATGGAAGCCATACATTTAATGTGAGGATTGACGGAGTTGTATAGAGAGAATAAGTAGGATCTTCATATGATATTTATTGACTTAGAGAAAGCATATGATAAAGTTTCAAGAGAAGTGCTATGGAGAGTTCTAAAAAAGAATGGCGTTAATAATGCTTATATTCAAGTCATTAGGGATATGTTTGATAGAGATGTTATTTCTGTTCAAACATAATGTGGTTTAACCATGTATTTTCAAATTTCAGTTGGATTACATCAAGGATCAGCCTTAAGCTCAGATCTTTTTGCTTTAGTCATGGATGTTCTTACTAGAGATTTGCAAGAGAATGCCCCTTGGTGTATATTTTTTGCTGACAATATTCTTCTTGTTGATAAGACTAAAGAGGAAGTCGAAGGAAAACTTAAATTATAGTCGTCAACCTTCGAGTCTAAAGGTTTTAGTTTGAGTATATCTAAAACCGAATACATAGAGTGTAATTTTAGTAAAAAAATTAGTGGGGGGTTTGTGACTTTAAGCAATCAAGTAATTAATAAGAGTACATATTTTAGATATATTAGGTCTATTGTTCAGAGTAATTGTGAAATAGATGGCGATATTATTAGTAGAATTTAAGTTGGATGGTTTTAAGTGAAGGAATGCATTGGGCTTGTTGTTGTGGGCTCCGAAAATTCGGCCCCGGCCCCCGCCCGATTGTAACTTTTTCTTTTTCGGGGGAGTTTTAATAGAATTAAGTTCCAGGATAAATTTTGGAAGGAAGATGAATTTGTAGATAAGACATTGCCCAGAGATTTTGTTCTCATTTTGCGAGGACTTTATGATCTCAGTTCTGGTTTCCTATAGGCGCAAGCCCCTATAGTTAATTACCCCTCCCGATAACGAGAGAGAACTTTCGATTAAGACTAGTCGTCAATCAGATAAGTGTAAAATACATGTTATCTGGCATATATTAGCAACATTGGGCTTGGATTTGGAAAATTGGAAGATTTGATATTTAAAATAAGAAATTTCACCATCTTACACTTAACTTAATTAATCTCAATAGGAGAAATATCCTACCCTGAATATTTCGGAAAGTATAATGGTTCATGAGTAGCTTCGTAGACCAATAAATAAAAAATAGATGATAATAATCTGCAGAGAAAGATGCACTTGCAAAATCAATTATAGAAAATGACAACCTTGGGAAAATATTTTAAAGAGAAATCAGTACAGCAAATTATGTCAAATTATGATCCAGATTTTCTACTGATTTAGATTAATCAAGAAGTGCATTTAGTAGTATCACAAGTGATTCTTCTAGTTGATTTAGACTCATAAAAAATTATCCTCCTGTAACAAAATGATAAGATAGCAAGTTCAGAAATACCAATCCCTACGCAAATTTTCTACTGTGTTAGATTAATCAAAAAGTGCATTTAGTAAGTACCTTCTGCAAAACCAACTTGAACTCAAGAAGTTCATTATATGTCTGTTGCAGTTTCTCACTGTTTGCATTCATTTCAAGAAGTTCAGCCTCGTGTTCACCCAGTTGAACCTGAACCCAAGAGAATATAAATCTATTATAGGCCTTCTGAATGTACCACCATATGATAAAGGACAATATAAACTTCAACAATAACCTCTAGTTCCTCTAAGTGAACATCTGGTTGCAAAGTAGGGCGAGGTAAAATTGCAAGGTTGGCCTTGTTTATCTGATCACTAAAATACCTTAACTTCCGTGACATCTCTCCACAACGTTTTACCTGTTTTGAAGCCCAATTTAGGAAAATGCAACAGGATAGAAAAATATCAATAATGAGTTGAACGTTTAGAAGTTATTTTTGAGACATCATTCCCGACTCCTAAGCTTTATTGCTTTCATATATTTTACTGATTCATCTCATTAATTTTTTAAGTCTGCTTGCTTTTATTTCCAACATCTTTGACAAAATCCATCGAAAAGATAAAAAAAATGAAAGGGTAGTTTCCAATGAATTGGTAACATTGGAAACAAAATTTGAAAAAAGTAACAAAAAGTATTTTAACAAGAAATCACATCAATCCTAGGTATGATGCATTTTTTTATGTTTTAGTGTCTGCATCTATTGAAAACTCCTTATGTACTTGTAGTAATATTTGTCTAGACTGAGCGCTAAAAACGTCCATACATGCCAATAGATAAAGTGATACAATGAGCAATAAAACAACTAATCGTTCTCAAAAGAGTACTAACATTCAATATTGTTAAATTTAGAGAACTAGAAAGGGAAAAAAAAATAATTTTATTACACAAAACCATCCTTATTTATAGATCTATATAAGATGTCTTAATAAAGAAACAAATAACTACAGAATCATGCATAATTTCCTTAATATAATCCTTCCTAAATCAGCCACCCAAATATAGAAGAAAATTGGCGTGATCCATCTGAGCTTCTCACAGATCCCCATGCAAGCCGTGGGATCAAGGGCCAGGGGATGCTGAGATTTAACGGCATGACCCAGGTGAGCCTCCCATCGATCCCCATGCTAGCCTTGGGATCAAGGGAAAAGGGATAGTTGGGATTTAACGCTCCCCATCACACTAGGAAATACAGATCTGTTGTTCACAGCTTGGTAATTAGTCCCATAAAGGTAAAATTATCAAGTCCCTCGATAAGAATATTTGAAGCATTAGTTTTATCCTTTTCCTTTACCCCATGCATCTTGGTTTTACCTTCAATAAACTCCCAGTTCTCTTTTTTAGGAGCAATACCTCTACATCACTATCATATAAAATTTTATGCATTCTTGCACTTTGATCAAAAGAACCAACAATACCATCATAAAACATCTGATCATGTGGCCACCAAATTTTTATCTTTGAGCCAATAATTGTGTCATCTAAGCCTTTCCTATGCTTTTGTGGTCCAGAAGCCTCCTATACGCCTGTTGACCCCACACATTATAACAAAAAAAAAATTAATTATAAAATTACCTGTAGAACCTATAGCCCATCCCGTATCTGATGAAATCTTGTCGCAGTCTGCAAACGGCGCCGAATGCAGTCGCCCCATCCCATGCGTGATATCGCACTCCTACTCGCGGCTTTAAAATGAGAACGAAGTTAAGCTTCATTCATTTTTCTATACAAGCACATCCGAAGCTACAAGTTGAAGCCCTTACACACAAGACCTCCGCTTCCTTCGCCTCTTCCCGTCATTCTTCCCCACTAAGCTGAAGCCACAAGACCACTTGACCAAGCCGATCGAAGCCCCTACCTTTCGAGCTTCCGTCGATCTCTATAGCCCTAGACCCATCGAATTCTCTACTGCAAATCAAATCAAAATCCTTAACTTGCTTCCTCCTCCCTCCGTACAAGTGTCGAAGCTTACCCGACCCCATCTCCTCCACTGCCGAACTCTATCCCGCCGACCTCCACCAAGACGAATCACAATCAATCGACGCCTGTACCCATCACTGCTTCCGATTTGTCCGATCCAGAGGACCTCAACCCACCGAACTCTAGCCGAGCTTCCTCCTGAAGCCGACCCTGCCTGTTGCCTGTATCCCGATCTCCTCCTACTTCAGACTGACCCCAACCAACTCCAGATCTCATGCAAATCTCACTTCTCCCTTCCTCATCCGATCCATATCCCCATCTGCAAGTTGGGCCATGCATCCTTCTACTGCTATAGCCAAAACTCTTGTAGCCATTTAATCCCACTATATTCCCTTAACTATGCCCTAGGTAACACACTCAAATCAGCAAACTTACACTCTTAAACAACAGCCACACACATCTAAAGCCCAATTGAAATCCCCTAATCAGCCTAAACTCCGTTAATAGTAAGCTACTTTTGTCATGACATTTTATTTTTATTATTTGATTTTAACTATTATAATTGATTACGATTAGTGTGTTATCAGTTGTTTTGATTAATTTAAAGTGTGATGCGTTGTATCATCATTGTTAGTAAAGGTAAACTATATATATATATATATAAGCAAAGATGGAAGATATGCAGTGGATGTAGGCTCATACGAGTTGTCGTAGAAGATCTATTGTACGCCCAATGTAGTGTTAACAAGCAGAATGCAGAATAACTACATCAAATACAAATGTCTATGGGCTGCACTAGAAGATTTACACTCAATGCTAATGTACAAACACAGCACTGGATCTATAACACTAATGCAAGCAAACATAAGGCGTCTACAAGTTACAACGCCTGCTACTGGATCTGCAACACTCATGCAAGCTGACAGAAAATGTCTATAAGTTACAACGCCACACCACCAGATCTGCAACACTCATGCAAGTAGATATAAGGCGTCTACAAGTTACAGCGCCATGCCACAGGATCCACAACATTCATGCAAGAGGACAGAAGGCATTTACAAATATTACAAGAATGCCCCCACACATGCACTGTAATATGTATGCACATAGGTACACAAAAGGGGCAACTGTAATCACAAAACCCACATGGGCCCATACGAGCATATTTTGGGTACACATGTGACGTAAAAAAATGCTGCGCGGATCAATAAATGAACATAGTTTGAGCCCGATACTTTTTTATGGATAAATAAGAGTCAGCACGGCTAGAATTATCAAACAGTATACGGTCAGGATGTCGATTGGAATATTTATTTTATACGTTCATATAAGGTCTTCAAAGCCTCTAACAAAGAAAATTCATTAACAAAATCACAAAGCCAACACACCCAATCCTCTATCGACAAATTGGCAAAGTTAATAAGGTTTAATTCACAAATGGAAATGACCCCAACACCCTGATGATGGCCATGTCGAATGCAAATCTCAACTGGAGGGATTAATTCAAAATATTTTCAAATGCTCCCAAATTCCTACAAAATGTAAATATTTTCAAATGACCCCAAACACCTCGATGATGGCCATGTTGAATGCAGATCTCAACCGGAGGGGTTAATTCCAACATTTTAAAATGCCGCCCAGAAAATCCAATACTCTAAAAATCTTAAAATTCAATATATTTAAAAATGGAAATTCAATCATTAACCACTTAAAGTAAAACTCATCCATCCTCCGTAACAGTTTGTCGAGTAAATAAATTAAAATTTAGTTTTTCTCACATAGAGCTAATGTCTAATCGAAAATATCACTAAGATACATTCTAAAATAATCTCCTACTAGTAAGGACGTGATACGTGTCCTCTGGCCAGTGGTTTTGCTGTCAAATAATACCGTAGGATAAACAGTTATGACCCGAGGCACTCTAAACTAAGTGGTTTTGCCGCCAAATGGGACTACTAAATTACGGTTATGGCCAGAGCCAATATGTTTCTTAGTGGCATCAAATCCTTGAGATATGAATCAATAGAATATAGTCAATAGGGCACAAATCCCTTTATTAGCTAAGGTGGATTTAAATTTGTCCGCTTAGGTAAGCATCCACCCCAGGTCTACAAGGTACCCTTGGACAAAACAACTCATAGCTGCCGATAAGGATACTTCTGTCAGGTTTCGTCGACTACCTCTTCTGACTAAGTAGATAAAGGACCATGATGGCCCGTGACGACGGAACAATGGAATCTTGATCAGGCTCATCATCACTTCCCCCACCATCTGGTTTAAGTGAAAGATGGTGAAATTTCCAATTTTAAATATAAAAAACATTCAAATTTCTAAATTCCCAAACCTATGCTGCTATTATATGCTAAATAACACATATTTCTACATATATGATTGACGACTAGCCTTAATCGAAAGTTCTCTCTAGTTATCGGAAGGGGTAATTAATTATAGGGGCTTGCACCTATAGGAAACTAGAACTCAGATTATAAAGTTATCGCAAAATGAGAGAGAAATCTCTAGATAGTGTCTTATCTACAAACCCATCTTCCTTCCCAAAATTTACCACGAAAGTTAATTCTGTTAAAACTCTGATGGGGACATCAGTTGGAAAGTCTACCGTCGATGTGGCCGTAGATAAACGGCCACGATTTATCCGATGTACTTTTGATTTTATTATTGTTTCCTTATTGATGTATTTTTATTTCAACATTTTCCCTTTTTACTCTTGCTTGAGGGATTGAGTCATGTAGCCCCTTGAGGGTATTTGGGTCATTTTGTTTTAAGTCATTGTAAGAGGCTATTTAAAGCCTTTCATCTTGTTCTTTGGAAGTTAATGAATGATTATCAAAATTTTCCTGCAATTGTGTTCTTGAAGCTTATGTGAGAGCTTGAGAAAGAGTTTGAGAGGTTGGTGGAGCCTAGGAGAGGCCACCCGTCATACCCAATAGTCACCACCGATAGCTCTTGGTTCTCCTCCTTTCTATCCTCCCTTCTATTCAATTTCCACCCCGGCCATCCCCACCACCAAACACCACCCCATAACCCCTCCTACCAAAGCTCACCTTCATCCCAACCACAAATCCAAACCCTTACCCTCATCCCGCCGGCCCTCCCTTTTAGCCGCCGGCCTCCCCTTCCTCCACCACTCCCACCCCTCCGTTAATCGTCGGCTCATCTTTGCATCCACCCCATGTATTTTCAAATTTGAAATTCAAAGTGGAAGAGTTAAAAGTTTCCATGTTTCTATTGTGTTCTCTCTTTCTCTTGCTATGATGTATGGCCAATCCGGAGTTTGAATCCGGCCTTGCGTAAGACGATTAAGTTTTCGTGGATCTTCTCATTTTGCCGTTCTTCGACTTGAATCCAAACATTGATGGGTTCATACAGAAGGCCGCCGACAACATGCTATTCGTTTTGACCAAGGCTATGGAGGAGGAACTA